CACCAGACGTAGGGCGGCTCCAAACAGCCCTTTCGGGAGAGGACGGGGACCCCCCGCTGCCCCCCGAGGGCCAGCGCGGTCTCTGTTAGCGGGGTCTCGCCCCGGGTTCCCTCCTCACGCTGCCCCAGCGAAGAGGTTCAACTTTTGGGTGTTAGCTGGCGGCTGCTTGGGCAGTGCAAGGCGGCGGAGGCTTTTCCACAGCCCGGGTGCTTACAGGTGTTCCTTCTCTATTCCAGCAGAATTACTGCCATGGCAACTCAAGTGCTGGGACAGTCTGGCGGGAGCAGCCTCTTTCCTGGCAGTTCTAATATTGGTATGGCATTGCCCAACGACATGTATGACTTACACGACCTTTCTAAAGCTGAGCTGGCAGCTCCTCAGCTTATTATGTTGGCAAACGTGGCCTTGACAGGAGAAGTCAATGGCAACTGCTGCGATTACCTGGTTGGAGAAGAGAGGCAAATGGCAGAACTCACAACAGTGGGTGACAACAACTTTTCAGACAGCGATGGAGAAGGTATGGAAGATACCCAGGCTGCAGAGAGCGACCACGAGGCACCTGAAAATGTGGAATTAAGCTCCCTTGAAGTTCCTAGTGTAGAAACCCAAGCTGAAGCTGCTTGCCCCCCTCCTAAGACTCCCACTGTGGACAAAGATGTCTCACTGGAAGCACCGAGTACTCCAGAGAGCACAGAGGACAAGTGTAAGAGCTTGAAGAGCAAGCCGTTTCGTTGTAAGCCTTGCCAGTACGAGGCAGAGTCTGAAGAGGAGTTTGTGCATCATATCAGAGTTCACAGTGCTAAGAAATTCTTTGTGGAAGAAAATGCAGAAAAGCAAGCCCAGGTGAAGGAGTCTGATTCTTGCACGGCAGAAGAGGTGGATTTCTCTAAGGGCCCGATCCGTTGTGATCGTTGTGGCTATAACACTAACAGATATGATCACTATCTGGCTCACTTGAAGCACCACAACAAAGCAGGGGAAAATGAGAGAGTCTACAAGTGTACCATATGCACTTACACTACCGTCAGTGAATATCACTGGAAGAAACACCTAAGAAATCATTTTCCCAGGAAGGTGTATACCTGCTCACAATGCTCCTATTTTTCAGACAGGAAGAACAACTATATTCAACATATTCGAACTCACACAGGTAAGTCCTTCATCTTTTTTGACTTAAGCATAGTAAGAGTACTGGGAAACTGTGATGAATGAAGCAAGCCGAGAGTCTTATTTGCCGAGTTCGTTCCACCCCGATAAAGCTCTGCACTCTCTTGGCTTGGTGCTGCCAGGTTGTTGCCTCATGGAAGCCTGGATTTGGTTTGAGCTCCTGTCTGCAGTCCTAGAGGACTGAGAAAATCTCTCAATGTCAGGGCCCTGCGAAGAGATGAAAGGCATCCTCTTTAGTAATTTTAAGCTAATTTTTTGAAGAGGGCATGACAAAGTGTGCCTGCGATGATTTTACAGCCTGATGTACTGTAAAAACAAGCAGGTTGACGAAGGGTGCCTAAATCACATAGGTAGTTTTGAAAATGGTACCTTCAGACTGAGCTGAAACTTGACTAAGCAATAATTACAGAGAAGAAAGAGCTGATACACACATGCAGAGGAGCCCTCCAGCATCTACAAAGTCAGAATAAGAGTTGTGTTCCTGGTGAATGGATTCCTCTAAACATACAGGGGCCTCGTTTTTTCTCTGCAGTAGCCAGAAGCAGACTTCTGTTGGCCTATAGGAAGCCCTCGAGGGAGTCTTTGGCCAGAGTTCCTGTCTTCTCTGGCTTGTAATCACAAGGAAAAGCTTGAGGCCCCTTTCTACTCGGGTTTATACCAAGTGGAATCAGAGGACCATCAGTGTTGCTGCTGTCCCATGAGCTGGGGCTGCAGGTGATTTAGGAAAGCCCATGCTTTGTATCAGAGAGCCTCGCCACCCTCTCCCATGGGGAGTCCTGAAGTGTAGCCAAACCTGAGACAACTTTCTAGCCCAGGGCCAAAACTGGCAAGGGGAGGCCCCAGCCGCCCTGCCTCATGGGGCAGTGAGGTGCAGTTGCTTTGCCTCCTGATCCCTTTTGTGGAAGCAGGAGAGCAGTTCAGACCTTTCCTGCAGCTTCTCAGAAGCTTTTATTTCCACCTTGTCAAGGCTTTCTTGAGGAGAGGGCGGGCTTGCTACCATCTTCTAGCGTGCTGACCTGACTCGGTTCCCCTTTATTGTAAGCTGTGCCAGCTAAGCAAAACATTGGGAAATTTCTCCTTTGAAGTCGTGTTTTGTCCCAGCAGTGACATGAGTGGTTTGGAGACTTGAGTTCAGTTGTCTGCAGCTGTCTGGAAGGGGAGGGCTGGACACGGGCGGCCCCGGGGCTGGGCTTGAGCTCAAGTGTGCAGAAGTTTGTGCTCATCAGCAGGCTTTAGTATCTGCTTTGACGGGATTTGGAGGGTCTGCTGGGATTTTTAGTACATTAAGACTTACTCTCTTAACAATAGCCACATGCTGTTGTTTAGAGGATACCGTCCGTTTAAAAATCAGCCGTGTCCAAATATTGTTTTCCTGAGCGAGTAAACAAAGATTATTGTGAGAGATGTTAGGGAAATGGTGTGATTTATCCTCCAGTTTGTTTTCTTTGTGTGCATTGTGGGAGATAACAGGAAAGAGACCAGGTAAAAATGACAGAATAATAGGAGAAAAGCTAAATAAATCATCCGGGGAACTCATGGACAAATGGGAGCCTATGCTGTGGTGCCTGTCTGTTTTACATTTGTCTCGACTTTAAATTCATCCCTGCTTGTGTTTGTACATGACATTAGGTTCCCCCCTCTGATCTTTGAAAGCTCTTGTTGAGTTTTACAGGAACTAACCATGAAAGCATGTTTGCTGAGGAAGCTCTCTGTTATCACTGTCTGTGAACTGTATTGAAATAATAAAAAAAAAAATTTAAAAAATCAAGCATGTTAAACTACGTGGGACATTGTCCAGTTCCTCTTTTCTCCTTTAAAAATAGTGGCACAATCAAGGTTTCTGATTCTTTGGTTTGCCATGTCTTTTTCATTATTTTAATTAAGCTGAAATGAGTTACTGTGATTTCAGCATTTTTTCATCCACCCTGGTAGTTGTTTCTTTGCTAGCTCTAGTTAAGGTCTTTCAGCCAGTTCTCACTTGATAAAAATCTTTCAGATATGTTAGTAGACTGGTTTAGGAATGTGCCTTCTTTCCAGCAACATTGATTTTGTGGGGGAGAGTGTTAAGACTAAAGGAAGAGCATTAGAAGAATGAATAAGCTACTGGCAGGTATATTTATACACCAAGCTGAAAGTTTCTGCTGGTATTAATGTGTAATCGATTGCCTTAAAAAAAACACAAACAAAACCACAATGCACAAAAATTCCCCAAACAAACAACACCCCCAAAAACCCCAGAAAAAACATCCACAGATATTTTATAGTCAAAAGTATTTGCAGACTGTTAACAGTACTGAATTTAATAAAAACTGTCTGAATGATATTAAAATATCTTTGGATTATAGTTATAATTTTAAATTTAAGAAGACTATTTTCAGAAAAAGGATGGCAGGGGTGCATACATACTTAATTTTCTTCCTATTTTATGGGCTCAGAATGTTTAGAAGAAAGTTGGAATCGTGTGTTTCTTTGGTTTCCCAATTGCTAATAGGTTAAATAATTTTTGATAGGTACTTTTCTGTCTTATTTTTTGTACTTCACCTGATTTTTTCTGTGTGGGAAAACACCTCCTTGCAGATAATTGGATTCTGCTGCGTTTGAGCCGTCCCGTTGAAAGCTGAAACAGTGACTCTGTACAGAGTGCAGCTTCACAGGATCAAACGCTCTGCTGCTGGAGAAAGGCAGTCTCGGTTTTCTCCCCATATCCTGGGACTGGTTGATTCAGCTCACTAAAATGGCAGTAAAATATTTCTTTCCTCCTCCCCAGGTTGGTTTTCTGCTGGTTAGTGAACTGAATCGACTTACTGAGGACACATATAAATGCCAGAGTACGTGGCCAGGAGCAAGGAAGGGGGCTGCGTGCTGGTGCCTGGCCTGTTGGGGACCGGGGGAAGGCGGGCAGAGGTTGTCTGCTTGCCTGTGCTTGCATCTCTGTGGGAAACAGGGGTCCACAAACCCACCCTGTCCTGGAAGATACCTTGCAGCTCGTGACAGTGCTTTTGTGGCAGGCTGCTGACAAATATGGGGGACCTTGGGCAGAGGGGTGGTTTAAGGACCCCACAGGTGGTCATAAGCTTGTCAGCTGTGAAAGGTGCATCTGGAAGAGCCTGTCTGCTGCCCAGGGCAGGGTGCCTGGAGATGTTCAGGGCTGCCCCTTCCTCTGCTGATGGGGCAGAACGGGCCCTTTGTGTCAGGGACAGATCTACCTGGACTCGTTTGTGCTCATTAGACATGTTAGACCAGGTTTTGACTTGATTTTCCCCATCAACTCTCCACGCTGCTGATCCCAGACCTGTACTACGTGCAAAACAGTGCAGCGTTGGTCTCATTTTTTTCCATTTTACTTGTTAGAAGCAATTTCCAGAAAACTTAATCAAAAATCATCTGCAGGGCTATATAAATAAGACATCTACTTCAGGCAGTCACAGTCTTCAGTGTCTAGCTTTGGACTGTCCTTAAAAAAAAAAAATTGGTTATCATAGGAGATCTTTCTTGCTTGCCACTATGTTGGAAGTTTGATGGAAGCAGTTTCATTTCAAGCAGACAGAACTTTTAATTGCATTACAAGAAAAGCTTTAAAGAGATGATCTTAAACTTGTTCACTGATGTCAGTCTGCCTGTTCATTTGCATAGAGTTAAGTGCCTGCTTAAGCTTTTGCTAGGTTGGGGCTTATTCTTTAAGTATCTTGTGAAGAGATTTTTTTGGTGGCTTGTTTGCATATGATGAGCTTGTAAAATTACAATAAAAATCCTTTGGGGAACGGCATTTCATAAAACAGCCCTTTTAATGTAGTCATGCATTTAGCTCTCAGGTGGCAGTAACACATTTTAAATTGATGCATTCGTCATACTTTAGATTTAGTAAGTTTTTTCTGCTGTGCCCTGTATAAAATACCTGAAAGAAAGCCTTTTCCACATTCCTAATGTTGTAGGTAACTTTAAAGATCTGAAGTTTCAGGTAATGGGAAGAAGACATGACTGAATATTCCAGGACCTTTGGCCACATATTTTCAGATTGTAAGGAGTCATTTGAAAACAAAAACCATTTCTTTATAACAAAAGGACTACCCCTCCCTTGTACATGACTTAATCTTATTGTGTGTGTTGCACCAATCTCTTACCTTGTTTTAACTGGAAAGGGAGGGGGGTTACGGTTGTTAGGGTGAATTTACCTTTAAACTGCTGATCTAATCAAGAACGATGGTCTCAATGTTTGATGGGGGGAAGAAATGGGGGATTAGTCTGCTTTACAAAGGCTGCTTCTACTGCTGTTTTGGCAAAGGCCAGCATGGAGCCTCACATCCATACTGGCAGATGAAGGTCTTTGCTGCTGCAGATAGAGCTACGCCCCTGCAAGTGAACAAATAGCCTGCGTGCAGGGCTTTTGCTGACGTCCAGGTCTCAGTGATCTGGAGAGCATGTTGGTTGTATGCTTCAACTGATGTAGCAAAAGTCTGTAGTGTGATTCTGACTATGACTTGAATAAATAGTAAAACTAAGTAACTTTTCCCTTCCCAGCTTCACTCCCCTCTTCCGTTGGGGTCATCCACCCGAGACTAAAAAGTGTTTTTACAACTCGTAGTGGAGACAAGTCGGCCTAGATCTGTTCTCCCCTCTTCTGTTGGGGTCATCCACCCGAGACTAAAAAGTGTTTTTACAACTTGTGGAGGAGACAAGTCGGCCTAGATCTCTTGGCTGTGCTAGCAGTTTGGGGCAAACTCCCCTGGTACTTATGTGGACCCGCCTAACAGATGTTGATTCTAAAACTGTCTGCGTTTATTTGGGGCTTGTCTTCGCTTGAAAAGGATTTTCAAGTATCATTGTACTGATAGTTACACAAGCTAACTGTCCCTTGTGGAGACCTAATTTATAACAGGTTAGTTTCCATTAGTTCTCCAGAAACAATAACTCTGCAGGCAGAGGGATTTGAGTCTTCAAAATAAATGTTGCTGCTACACTTGAGCTTTTGCTAGCAGCATAGTTTCACTGAGCAGGGCATCATGCTTTTCCATGCTCCAAGCTAACCACACTCTGCCAATAAAACTTCGGAAGTGGAGACTCTGTCTGCGCTTGTGTTCTGGCAAATGCAGGTCCACGTTGAATGGATGGTTGCCCCCCATCTTAATACGAATTAAACATGGAGGTTTTGGGTAGGGTGTTATGTGAAGCAAGAACATACCTGGTTTCTTACAGAGTCTATATCTTTTGTGTATCTACTGAGTGCTGGGAGTAAATACTGCAGGGAAGTCAGCTGTGGTGACTTAGGGCTTCATAAAGGTGGCTGTCCTCATCACCTTTTGCCTGAGGTTACCGTCTGACACCAGGTGGACATGAGGATGTGCCTCTCTCATGTTCTGCCCCTTCACTACAAGACATGACACATTGCCCTGCTCCAGCTCAGGCACGTGCTTCTCACTGTGTCCCCTTGCTGAGATGAGAGATAACATGCCCTCAAATACAACTTGGGTGTCTGCGACAGCCTCACGTGCATGGCTTGGTAACCAAGTCTGGGAATCAGCTGTGTTTCGGCAACTAATGTGCTGTTTGTTTTTGCAGGAGAGCGACCCTATCAATGTGCTATGTGTCCTTACTCCAGCTCTCAGAAGACCCATTTAACCAGGCACATGCGCACCCACTCAGGTTGGTAAGGGGCGGCAGCAGCGTGACTCAGGAGAAGGGGGTGGTTCACAGAATCGCGGCATGGTTGAGGTTGGAAGGGACCTCTGGAGGTCATCTGGTTCAGCCCCCCTGTTCAAGCAGGGCCTCCTAAAGCAGGCTGCCCAGTTCTGCGTGAGGTGTCGTCTCATCCAGTACAACCTCAGCTTTAGCTCCTGTTTTAACAGCGAAGGTTGTCTTTACCTGCTAAGGAAATGCAAAGTGTCACTAATAAAAGTGGTAACAGGGGAATATATCTTTTTCTTTCCCTTTTACTTTCCAAGGTGTATTGCGAGGTTCATAGGGCTGCTCTAGTAGTCCCAGAAACCTAGTAGCAAATACGACATTGTGATGAGATAGGAGCAGATTCTTCTGTTCTTTCTGCTGCCATAACTCAGTTCAAATCAATGAAGCTGGGACGATTTTTAGCAGCTGAGCGTCTCCTCCACGGTGTCTGTGATTTCACGTCATCCAGGGGTTCTGAGGGAACCCATAGCTTTTGCTTAGTATTACAGAAGGATGTAAAATAACGTCTGCTTATGGCAAGGAGACATGGAGGAGGAAAAAGCTGACTCAGAGGGTGTTCACAAGTGACTCAGTCTTGTGGCACTAAAAGCCAAATTAGCAATTTTCACTAGCCTTTATTTCCCATTACTGGTCATAAGCTGTGGTGTTACAGACATCTGCTCTCACTCTCTTGCAAATTTCTTTTTGAACGAATTACCAGCATTTATGTGAGTTGTAATGGCATAGGCGTGCTAGACACAAGCACAGCTGTCCTTTGTCACCCTCATAGGGGAGTTCAGGTAGATCTCAGCCTGTGCTTTTGGTTTGCTAATATCTGAATTGACCAGACCTAGGTGAATTCCTCATCCTAGCAAACAGTAGTGAAAGTCTCCTGAACAGTAATTGTTTCAATTTCAATAGATGACGCTTTTAATTGAAACCAGAAGGCAGGCAGCTTTAACTGGGAGAGTTTGGACCCATTAAAAATACCCAGCTTTAAAATGACAGGCCAATATTTTGGTTTGAGAATTTGGTGGATTACGTATTCTGCTTCCAGAAACAAAAATCATTTTTGGCTAAACCTGCGGGCTAAATGCAAATTTACAAATGGTTTGGTCAACGTTGAGCCTGGAAACCATTTAATGAACATCTTACTCTCCCCTTGTCTGTGCAAGGAAGTCTCACATCCAAAGGAAATGAGGAGTGGGATCTGCCGTTGGCCCTTGACTCAAAGGTCTGGGAGGGAGGACGTGAGCTGTGCTGACAGAAGTGGGAGTGCACATAGGACTCTTGCTATCAGGAGAGTTTTATTAATAGCCCTCTAACTTCTGTTGCATGTCTTGCCACATTGCCCAGGCAGCTGAACCTTTTCTGTGGCAATTTCTGGACTCCTGCAGTTCACAGGCCGGCCTTTTAAGGCAAACTGGTGCTGGAGCTTTCTTCAAATGTCAGACAGTGAACAACTGTTGTAGAGCCTACTTTACAGCTGTATTCTTAGCCATCTTGGTACATGTCCTTTCCACTTGAGCCACAAAAACCTTGGATTTAGTAGAGGTGATGGACACAAACTCTTCATGTACAACCTTTGAGTTACCCTGTTGCGCTCTGTGCAGTCAGAACAGCTTGTTCGTGTATATGTAAGAGAGAGGCTGTTCTTGTCCTCAAGCTGTGTAACATGGACTTGTTCCTTGAAGTGTAGGCAATAAAGGTCCATACTTGCGAGAAGGACGAGCAGTGAAGCACATCCACAAGCTTAAACTTGTGGCAAATGTCACCAGGAAGTGGGGGCAAAAAGAAAGGAAGGAAAGAAGATAGGCTGGAGATGATAGGGAATCAAAGTAAACCTTCTTTAAATAATAAAGAGGTGCTGCAGGCAGACACGAAATGATCTAGACTCTTAAACAAGTGTCCCCATCCTTCCTGCCAGGGAGGAAGCATGGCCTCTTATAGTTTGTGAGGGTGTTGCAGATCAGCCATGTGGCTAACACACAAACAGACACCACAGTCACAGTGACTTCATCTTCGCTGCAGGCTGCTCTGGTCTCCTGAGTCGTGCTGCAGAGGAGCAGCCTGAGTCTGAGCAGTGTCAGGGCAGCAGGTTGCAGGGGTGGGAGAAATACTATTGTACCATGAGCAGAAGGGGCTGGAGTGGATTTTCAACATACTGAGGAAGTGGCATGGATTAGTTCTGCAGGTCACTTTTGAGATGCTGGTTCAGCACTCAGGAGCATCCCAGGTTTCTCAGATGAAGTTGCACATGCACAGATGTATTTCTAGACTTGAGTTGTTGCACTAGAAGTGTTTTTCCTATTTGCTTTGACGTGTAAATGGAAAGCCACTTCCGCTGCAGCGGCATGCACTAAGCAGAACGTTTCAGGAACACTTCTGCAAGAGTCATTGCACAACTATAAATGCAGATTTCAGGAGTAACACGATGGCTTTGGACTGCATCTGGTTGTCTTGCCAAGAGTAGCCTGCAGCCAGTGCGTGATGTGTTTTAGACACCATAACAGTGACCTGAATTATCAGAGGTAAAGATCATCTAAGCAGTGGGCCCCTTTCATGTGCTTGGGTTTTTGCTAGCTTCTTCTCCCGCGTTTCCTTTTCAATGCAAAGATGAAGTATGCTAAATTTGTGTAAAGTTGGACTTTTTTGAAACGTTTGTGTGAAACTGCTATTCATCAAATGTTACATTTCCGTTTTTCTACAATGCATTCAATGGACCAGTTGGGTATGGATTCCATTTGCTAATATTACTGTAGAGAGATCTCTGCCGGTATGTATGCATAGCCAGAACCCGTGACGTTGTTACTGCTTGTTTGGTTTTGGATCCCCTTCCTCCCAACCCTCGCTCCTTCTTTCTTTTTTTGTATTTTGTTCTTGGTGTCTCGTGAATGTGTTTGTGACTTGTGAATTTCTTGTGTTGACTTCACTTAATTTTAAAGGCGCATGGATAGTTTTTTTTTATTCTTTTTGAGTTTCATATTTCTGTATCTGTATGAGCGGGAAGTGATTGCTGTCCCCCCACCCCCATGCTTAATAATCACCATCATTCCCTTCCGCCCTTCCTTCCTTAGGTGAGAAGCCATTCAAATGTGATCAGTGCAGCTATGTGGCCTCAAACCAGCATGAAGTAACTCGTCACGCAAGGCAGGTTCACAATGGGCCAAAGCCTCTGACTTGCCCACACTGTGACTACAAAACAGCTGACCGCAGCAATTTCAAAAAGCACGTTGAGCTCCACGTTAATCCGCGCCAGTTCCTCTGTCCTGTTTGTGATTACGCAGCATCTAAAAAATGTAACCTGCAGTATCACATCAAATCCAGGCATCCCGATTGTTCTGACATCACCATGGATGTTTCAAAGGTGAAGCTAAGGACTAAAAAGAGCGAAGCTGACTTTTCCGAGAGCGTTAATGACAAAGCGGAGAAGGAACAAGTGAAAGGGGATTCAGCTGCAAAGAAAACTGAGAAAATTGTGAAAGTGGAGAAAAAAGATAATTTGGCAAAGGAAAAGAAGCCGACAAGCAGTGTTTCTGCAGGCCAGGTGACAACCAGAAGTCGGAAATCGGCTTCAGAAAACAAGGAGGTGGATATTAAAACTGAGAAAAATACTGAGAAAACATGTAAAACAAAGAAGATCAAAAGAAAGGCAGAGGCTGAAGTAACTTCCTCAAAGCAAGAGCCTGCAAACGATACCTCGGCAGTAACAAAAAAGAAAAAGAAATTGGAAGTTAAACCCAGAGACTGCCAGGAAGCTCAAAAAGGTGACAACGTACCAGAAGAGGAGCCTAAAAAGCAAAATTCTTGCCTCAAGAAAAACAGAAAAAAGAAAGCTCTGAAAAATAAGCACAGTAAGAAAAGCAGTAAACTCAATCAGGAGCAGATCGAGGAAGAGGAGATGCCAGACGAGTGTCATATCACAGAAGAAGATGGATGCGTGAAGCCTGACACTGAGGGCAGCAGCCAGAAGGAGCAAGATCCCACTGACACAGCATTAAACAATGATGGTGGTCACGCTCTGAAGGGGGAGAGCACCGATCCCAAAGGAAGCTGCACACAAGACCCAGGGCAACTTTGTTTGCCAGCTCAGGATGCAAACACAGAAGCTGAGGTAGAGGACCAAGAGATGCCTGCTGCAGCAAGAGAGAGCGAAGACACTGTTGATGAAAAAGAGGAAGAGAGAAAAGTGGACAGAGGGGAAGATGCTTGCTCTGAGGAATCTTCCCATGCAGTGCCTTCTGAAAAACGCTTGGATGTGCCCATGGATGTAGAACCAGGCCTGGCACCTGAGAAGGAGCCAGAGGAAACCTCTGTGGCAGAAACTGTGAGTAACTCAGACCAGATGGACCTGACCAAGACGTGCCTGACAGTGACAGAGCCAACAGGAGATGCCGTGCCGGCACCTGCACCCCCAGAAGGGTGTACGCAAAGCCCTAAAGTAGCTCTGGCCTTACCATCTCCGGATAACACAGCAGTGAGTGAATCTCAGGAAGTGGATGAGGATGAGGGCATCCACAGCCACGAAGGCAGCGACATAAGTGACAACATATCAGAAGGAAGTGATGACTCGGGGTTAAATGGTGCTCGCTCTGTACAAGAGGAAACAAATCCAAAGATGTCACAAGGAGCTGCAGACACCACAGTGGCCAGGGAGAACTATGTGTGCATTTTTTGTGACCGATCATTTAAAAAGGAAGGTGAATATAGCAAGCACCTCAATCGCCACTTGGTCAATGTGTATTATCTTGAGAAGGCAACAAAAGGGCAGGAGTAGAAATAGCTGTGGTTTGGGGGAATCTTATTTTGTAAGATCTTATACAGCTTATGTACAGATACTGTAGATTTTTTTTTTAAGCACGGTTTGCTTTAGTGTCTGCATTGGTTTGGTTTTTGTTGTTTGTTTTTTTTTAAAGTTGAAAATATTTTTGACAACTTGTGTAATTGTGAACTCATTTAACTATTGGATCTCTTCAGTAGAGAAGGCAGGTAGGGTGTATGAGGCTGTGTTCTGTAAAGTCAGTATAAGCTTCTAGTCTACAAGCTTATGCAATTCTTTTATAAATTGTTTTAGGAACAAGACTGTAGCTAACAATACACAAGTTGGATGTTTATAGAGCCATTGGCATTAGTTGCTTTTTGTTCTAGCAGCCAACTCCTCTCTCCCCTCTTCCCTTCCCCCCCCTTTTTTTTTTAGTTCTTCTATATGTGTCTTGATGTTCAAAGTGTTAAACTACTTGATGGTTTTTCTACAGTAAGATAGCTTCTATTACATAAAGAGCACTTTGTAAAAGAAATCAAAGTTGGCTAGTGATGAACATTACTGTTTAAGATAATTATAATTGTGAACGTACATTTCAGATCCCCTCAGCGTGAATGGTGAGCCAAAATTTGGGAGTAGTCCTTCCAACTTTTTGATTGGAGAACCTCTGTCTTGATTAATATCTTAATGACTATGATATTTAATTGGCTTTGTTGTGGGGGGGCAAGTTTGTTATTTTTAATTTCTGCCTTTTTTTTTTTGATTGTGCTTTAAGGGCTTAAAATATTGCACATTGTTTTTGATTTTTACCTATGCAGTTTAATCCTTTAGGAATAGCGCTTGTGCAGTACATGTACACTTTATATATGCATGTTTGGTTTTGTTTGTGTAAGTTTTTTTTTTATTTGGAAATGTTCAGATTCGTTGCTTACCATGGGACAGTTTTCTGTGACATTTTTCTGTGATGCTCTTTACAGCAGATTTTTCTTGTTTTCCTGGGGTATTATTAGTTGTGCATGAAGTTGCTGAAATTATGAACTGCTTGGCTATATATTTTTGACTAGCTTTAAAATGGTGTAGTTCTTGAGCAAAAGGATACCAATGCAATTTCAAAACACTATTTTTATAGGATTTGTTTTATCATGGAAATGCCACTTCAATATCTTGAATACACATACAGAGTAATAAATTCTAATTTATAATTTGGGATCACCAGACAGGAAAATATTCGCTCTCAGTGGAAATGGTCTGCAGATTCTGCAAGTCCGGATCATTATTATTTTTTTTCCCCTCCCCTTTTAGTTTCTGTGATGGACAGCAGTCACACTTCATGAGCTTAAAAAACCCCCACCAAAATAGTAGCAGTGATATGGTATGGTTCATCAAAATCTAACATCTCACACACTAGAAAAAAGACAAATAAAGATAAATCAACTGGTAAGCAACAAACCTGGCATTAAAACCTGTAGGAATTCCTGCTCCTTATTCATTCAAGTTGCATTTAATAAAATCATCCTGCTTCCATGCAGAGAGAAACATGTAAATGATCAGATTGTCCTCTCGGGTCTATGTGTCATACCAGTTTTTAGTTCTAAACAGATTTGATTTCTGGCACACAAACACAAGAGAGATTGCACACTGAGGCCAACCAGTGGCAAAATGCAAACAAAATCCAAACCAGCAGTGAAAAGGTGAAACCTTCTGGTCTCATCTGTGCACTCTTCTGACTGTCACTGGCTGCCTTTCCAGTGGGAGCTGTTGGGGGCAGCTTCTCTGGTTGTCAGCTCCGAAGAAGCAAATTTGGAGGCGGGTGTTATTTGGAGAATGGAGTTGAGGAGCTCAGGCAGTGTTTGTCAGAGCACTTTATGGCAAATACTCTCAATGTAAGCTCTGGAAGAAACCCTATTCTTCTCTGCATGTCCCCACAGCATCTTCCCCTCCAAAAAACCCCACAGCCTTGAATGAATAGAGAGCAACAATGCTACATTGCTTCTGCTTTTGGGAGAGATTGGTAATAGGAGGCCAAAGATTTGAGAGGGAAGGCATCCCTCGTGGCAGAAATAAATTGTACAATGTATAGCGAGTGAGTTTTTGTGTGTTTAGATAGTGTTCAGTCCTTACCTTGGCTGCGACAATCATTGTCAACTGAAGATCAAGTTGCAACTATATTTATGTTAAACATTAAGAAAAACCTAGTTGAATTGTTTTCCTAAACAACCAGTTGTAATAGTCTTAGATGTATTTTTTTTTTTCTTCATAATATTGTTTCCTTTATATATAAATGTTGCCACCATTTGTGAGCGATGTGAACAGATGCTGGGAATTCCAGTACTGTGTAGAGGTTTTAGAGCTCCTTTCATATCCTTGCGGAGAGCCTGTGCCATCTCGTGAGAGACTTCGAGGACTTTATCTATGTTCAAATAAATTTGTGGACTAGCCTCATAATTTTTCTGGTGTTGACTGACTTAAATCTCTCTCTCTGAGATAAAAACAAAGATGTGGTTCTCTGAGATATGCTGCTGCACATTTCTGTGAAGTGGTCAAGGTTTCAGTGCTTGATCTGACAAGAACTCTTTGAAGACGACAGTCAGCTCCTCGGCAGTGTTTCTTACCACAAGATGAGAAACTGAAAATAAATTATTAACATTAAGAAGAAGAAAAGTTGATTCTTTCTACTTGAGACCCATCACAATGTCCTGAAATACCTAATGTTGGTGCAGAACTGTGTTGGAATTCTCTGCTTGGTTAAGACCAAGGTTTGGGAGTATGTTACGGTAAAGCAGCAAGGATGTAATGCATTATGTGTACCTAAAATGTTGGACATTGCTAATATTGAGTACTTGAGGGGGATGCAGGTCAGGTAACCCACCATGCACGGTGGTCTTGCATTGCTGTATCTCCCTTTGAACAATGCCTCTTTTTTTCCTTGTCTTTGGTCTTTTTCAATGTTCTTAAATTATTTTGTGTTGGTTTTGCCAATGCTAGTGTTTTTGTGGTTTTTTTGGCAATAGTACCTGTATGAGTGTTCAACCCCCAATACGTGGTTGGAAGGATTAGCACACTGATAGATACCCTTACACTGCCAGCCCTCGGTTGAGCAACGTGGTGTTTTGGGCTTTTGTGGTATGGATCTGTACGCTCAAGAGTAACTGCCCTGAGAAATGGTCTAGAAGTGAGTAGCTAGGCGTTAATAATCCATGGTATTGTAACTGCTCTTTCTGGATTTTGATGATCTAGGCTGGAACTTTAGTCGTTTAAAGAAGAATGTTTAACAACTGACAGGCCAGTTAAGATATGTTAATGTTATTGATTTCAACAGATGTAATTGATTTCAACAGATTTAATGTAGCTGAAAGGTATTAAATCAAATTCAAGAGTTTTCTTGAATGTCAGTTGTGTAGATATGTGGCATGCATACAATATTAACAGAATCCAGATAGCTAATGGAATTGCTTTATGTGTACATATATTTTCCCCCTCTGAAATTACACTAGCTAACAGACTTTTGTAAGGTGGCATGGAAACGTGTTTATGATGTTTAGTTGCACCATGTTTGATGCTTTTACAGTGCAATACTTGTATTCTCTGAATTAAACCAAAGGTAATTTTTTTTTCATGCTCTTTCTACTGTAGTGCATGACAGTCTTTTCTACGTTTGTAATAGATGTAAAACAAGCCAGATCGTACATCCTGTTTTTCCTAAAACATGTATAAGAAGTCTTTTGTCCAAAATGTAGTATAAACTAAACTGCATTATATTAACCCTTACACGTGTATTTTCCTAAGCATAGTTATGATTAAATAAACTTTATTAAGGAACTTGCAGCTTCTATCTCCCACTTATTAATGGCTGTGAACGCCATTTGAAAGGAAGGAAGGAGCAGTGCCAGCATCGTTGACAGAACTCTTCAAGACCTCAAGCCAGCACGATCGGGGGGAGCCAGGACATAGATTCCATGTGCATGCACACGCAGACTCGACTGCAGCCAGGGACAGACAATGGCTCCAGAAATAGGTTCTTTTTCCATTTCAATACACTGTATTCATTTCCCTGCCTGCTTCGGTGGGTACAGGGCACAAGGTGGGAGATGTTTGCACGCGGATGAGGTTCAGACTTGATGCTGGACCTGTTTGTGACATGAAAGGCATATTCCCTGCTGCGTGAGAAGAAATGCAACTTGATGGAAGCTGTGGAATTGAAATTTGAGTTTCAGAGGTAATGCAGGTGGCAATTCCTCCTGCATTCCAAAAGGGTCTCTGGTGCTGTCTCATTTGGGGAATTAACAGTAGATTTATAAAAATTATGTCACCCATCATCCCTATGGCTACAATACTGTCTATATAATAAAGATACTGAAAATGTCTTCAGAGCTGTGCGGCCTGGTATAGCCTGCATGGGTGACTTTTCATCTCTCTGCCAGCCTGGCCCTTGTAGAAAACCTGAGCTGGATTAGCTCATGGTGCTAACCTGCCTGCTAGAGCTTGGTCATTCTTAACCTCCTACTAATGCAGAACAATTCCTCTTTGCCAAGAGATCAAGGCAAACAACATTTGATGAACTTGTGGGGATAGTTGTGTATGCAGCTGCTGCAGCTTTGAGCAATTTGGGACATACCTAAAAGCATAAGTAAGCTTTTTTCTTCTCTGATTAAAGCAATGTGTCATCTTAGTCTGTCAATGGGAATTTGGGCTTTTGAGCCATGCAGTTAGTAGTTGAGCAGCAAAGAGCAGGGAGCACCATTCGCATGGGACAGCCTTGGAGGGCTGCAGGGTGGCGGGGGCTGTCATCATGTGGGTAAGGGGCAGGTTTTGGTTTGCTCCCCTTGAAGTCTTGTAGACAGCACGGATGCAGTTTATGGCAAAGCCAGTGTAAGGACAGGGAACAGGAGTGGTACTTGGCCAGGAGCTTGGCCACGGACTGCACGGAAGATGCTCTGAGAGCGTGACATAGAGATGGCAGGGTCTGGGTATTCGTGTGCCTCTGCCTGTGCTGTGCGAGTTAATGATTTCAAACTGGATCAATAGAAGAGGCCCTGCCCTTTGTACCACCAGCTAGTGCTGCCCCCCCACCCCAGGAAGGTGTTCTGGGGACAAGCTCACTGAAACAAGAAAACAGAAGTGGGTTGGCAACCCGAGAAACCATTTTCCCTTAAACCTGAAGTCAGGTCATCCTTATC